AGGAATCTCCCTTCCCAAAGGACATTCCAGCCCCCAGGGCCACGTGGAGATCAAGGAGTGGGCAGAGGAGCATCAGGGAAGTAACCTGGACATTGTTAAACCAGGATCCAACCTAACACTGAAACTTCCAAATGCTAACAGAGTCACAGAATCATGGAATGCTGTGGCTTGGAAAAGACTTTTAAAATCATCTTTCCCCCAGCAGTGCCAAGGCCACCACTGACCCATGTCCCCAAGTGCCACATCCACAGGGCTTTTAAATCCCTCCAGGGATGGGGACTCCACCATTGCCCAGGGCAGCCTGTTCCAACGTTTGACCACCCTTTCCCTGCAGAATTTTTCCCTGATATCCAACCTAAACCTTCCCTGGTGCAACTCAAGGCTGTTCCCTCTTGTCTTGCCCTTTGTTCCCTGAGAGCAGAGCCCGACCCCTCCTTGGCTCCAATCTCCTTCCACGGATTTTTAGGGAGCCAGAAGGTCCCAAATTTTTAGGGAGCCAGAAGGTCCCCCCTGAGCCTCCTTTCCTCCAGGCTGAGCCCCCCCAGCTCCCTCAGCCTCTCCAGGATAATCCCATCACCTCCCACCATCAGCATATTCACAGACTGCTCAACACTTGCTGCAAGTATTTCTAGGAAACTCTCAAGCACAGAAACTTGGCTCCAGTGAGAAATAACCCTGATTAATATGGGGATACATCTCTTGCTCATTCACACTGATAAACTAAGCAGTTGTGTCATACAGCAGTGTATTAAAATTAATTTCCTTCTGCTCCCATGACTTGGGGCATGATTCTCCTAATGATGCATATTAGCAGGAGGAAGCAGAGCAACAGGAAAAAGAGCTGAAGGAAATTTGAACCAGGGAGTCCCATCAGTCTCAGAGACAGAGCACACACAGACACACCTCACTGAGAGTCTGGGTGATGCCAAAACCGTCATGAGAAGCAGGAGAGGGTCGGGATTCCTTCGTTAAAAAATGGAGTCAAGCAAAAGCAACTGGGTGAAGGGACCCGGCTGCTCTCCAGAAAAAAATGAGGGCAACCTCAAAAATGAGGGCACCATAACCAGTGGTACCCTGACACTAGAGATGCAAAGATGCTCATGAAGGCTCCAAGTCATTGGGGCTTGGAAGTGACACCGAGCCAGTGGGACAAGGGAAGTGGAAGTGGAGGAGCTGAACAAAATGATGGACACAACAGGACAGAAGTGTGGATACACACCTGAGGATGTTGGAGAACAAAGTCACAGGGTTGTTCTTCCAGGTAATAAGATGCTCAATTTGCCCCAGATGTGACTTGTTCTCTTTCTTACTCTGCTCTTTTTCTAGAAAAATCAAATGGTTTAAAATGCCACCAATGCCCCCTTATCATCATGGAGTCACAGTATGGTTTGGGTTCAAGGGGGCCTTAAACATCATCCAGTGCCACTCCCTTCCACTAGCCCAGGTTGCTCCAACCTGGACTTGGACACTTCCAGGGATCCAGGGGCAGCCACAGTTTCTCTGGGTAACCTGGGCCAGGGACTTCCCATCCTCCCAGACAGCAATTCCTTCCCAATATCCCATCTCATCCTGCCCTCTGGCAGTGGGAAGCCATTCCCTGTGTCCTGTCCCTCCATCCCTTGTCCCCAGTCCCTCTCCAGCTCTCCTGGAGCCCCTTTAGGCCCTGCAAGGGGTTCTCAGCTCTCCCTGGAGCCTTCTCTTCTCCAGGGGAACATTCCCAGCTCTCCCAGCCTGGCTCCAGAGCAGAGGGGCTCCAGCCCTGGGAGCAGCTCCAGGGCCTCCTCTGGATTTGCTCCAGCAGCTCCATGTCCCTGTGCTGTTGTTCCCAGGGCTGGAGGCAGCTCTGCAGGGGGGTCTCACAAGGGAAGAGGAGGAAAATCCTCTCCTCCCCTGCTGCCCCTGCTGTGGGATGAGCCCTGGACATGGTGGGGGGGGTGGTTTCTGGGCTTCAACGGGTCATGTTGAGCTTCTCATCCACCAACCCCCCCAAGTCCTTCTCTGCAGGGCTGCTCTCCATCCATCCTCTGCCTGGATTTGTGGGATTTTTTGGGATTGCCCTGACCCACGTGCAGGAGTTTGCACCGGGAAGTGAATCATTAGGACAGTGTTGGGCACACACCAGACAGTGGTGTCACCACTCTGGTTCTTCACCACAACCAAGAAGCACCATCAGCCCGTAAGTGGGCAGCAAAAACCACAAATTTCTCTCCAAGCCTAATGTGTGAACACTTCAATAACACCTTCACATCTCAGTCAGTTAGAGAGCACGGGAAGGCTGTTCTTTAACTCCTTTGTTCAACTCCCTCACATTGCTTTGCTGCTGTGGAACATGTACTAACTCATAGCTGATGTGCTGTCCCTGACCTAGAAACACTGGCAGCTGTTCGGGGAATTGCTGGGTTTTGGGGAAGTATCAAAAGGTTTTTAGCACATAAACCAAATTTATGAACAGATATTCCCCCGGAGAACAGAACTGTTAATGTTTTAGTATCGCAGCTGTCACTGGTGCACAGTTATTCTGTCCTGTATTAATGCCCTGGAAAGGTTGAGCATCTTCTCTCAGTCACTGAAATATTTTATAATTGACAGACTTCATCTGGCACTGAATATGGATAATTTTCTCCATAAGGAGCACGCCAGGCTGACACTAATCTGTTCTGTTGTCATCTCCCTTTATTATCAACGTCTGCATTGTTTTTTCAGCAGCTCTGAAGAACACAAATAAGAAGCTCCTAATTGAAAAAGCTAAGTAATCAAAAAGCCAATTAATCATCGAGATGAGCTCTGACACCCGGTGATGCAACACACAGAAATACCACACAGGCACAGCTGAAGGGGTTTTAAAGTGTGCTCATTTGATGTGAGGATGATCTGAGAATGCAATTAGCATTCTCTGTCACAGGTGACAGACTCACACTGCACATTCCTCCAGCCTGATGTTGCTCCTCCGAGCTCGGCTCCGCTCCCCCCACACCTCCCGTTCTCATCTTCCCCCTGCTCTGACTCTGCACCTTCAGGACGAGTTTAGCAACAAATAGTCAGCCTTCCACCAGGCTCTGTGATTTCCAGGCCTTCCTGTTTTATTAAACCTCTATTTACCATCCCAACTTTCAAAAATCCCAACCCGGGAGCTCTCAGATGAACCTCGGCGACGGCTGCAGGCCAAGCCTTGGAGAAGGTGGAATTGCAGCATCCACGACCCCCCTGCTTCTCCAGCTTTCCACTCTGTGATCTCCACATCCCTGAACAAGTTCCAAGTCACATTTGGAGCACAGAGTTCACCTCCTTTCAGAGCTGCAACAACTGTTTTTTTTTGTGTAGGAGAGAGATGCTCGTGTACCTTGATACCGAACCAGATGACAACTCAAAGCAAGAGGTTTTTTAGCTCACAAATAAAAAGTCAGAATGAAAAGGCAAGGCTTGGTATCACAAAAGCTCCACTCTGAAGACAGAGCAAACATCATCCACGGTGTAAGACAGGGAATTCCGAACCACCTGCTGTGGCCCTGGAGAATTCCAAGCCCAAGGAGATGGGCAAGGGGTGGCAGAGCTCACCTATCTCACAGCATTTGGGGGATGACACCCCAGGAGAACTCAAATGAAGTTATTTAAAGGTCCTTATCCCCCCTTGCACACCACAATGACATATTTATGCACGTGTTAAAACGTGATTCCACATTGGAAGTCTTCACTTCTCAGGAGCAAGTGAAGGTACTGCACCAACAGCCTGCTCTAACAGTAAAAATAACTAAGAAAAAAACCTTATTTGCTGAATAAGACCTTCAGGAGGCAAAAGGAAAAGCTTCCAAAGATCCCTGGTTTCTCACACACCCTTTGCCATGAATTACTCCAGGTTTACTTGCACCACACACTGAGAGTACAGGTACAACCACCCCAAAAGGCACCAGTTTGGCTGAGAACCTGCAGGTGCTTTTCCCCCCCAAACCAGCCAGTTAATTCAGAATAAGGAAGGTATTCTGTGGGTTTTGTGGTGAAAGATCTTAATCTGTAGCTGTTTAAATAATGCACCGATTTAGAACCATTAAACTAATTTCCCCTCGTCCTTTCAAACTCTTTTTCATTGCCAAGAACACGGACTTCATTAATGTCATCTTCAAAAAGGCAGGACAAAGCACTGAGATGGTATCAGATATGTCCTCTACTTAAAATATTCATTAAGAGCAATTATACACACTGATAATTCATGCAACACGCTCCTCTCCCTAATCCATAAAAACAAGGGGGTCTCTCCCAGCCTGCTAAGCTGCATAAATGAATATGTATCTTGTTAATCATCCTCCAAACCAAAAATCCGAATTAATCAACAACAGATAAGCTCAAGAAGAAGGCAGAGGGGTATGGGGGGGGAAATGTGTTCAGGTTACAACCAACCTGGGAGCTGGCAAACGCTGACAGCAGCAATTACTTGAAATTAAGATCCTATAAAATAACACCCCATAAAGAACCAGAGTGCGAACAGCAACATGTTAAAGCACGTCCCACAGCCTGCCGGGGTGTTCTGTGCACTTGAGTTCCAGGTTTACTGGGAGAAAAAGGGCTTTTTAAACATGCTATAAATTTGGAATTAACATTAAACTCGCCACGTCCTGACGGCTTTTGGAGGGGATTACGAACTCCCCCCAAGGGAAGCAGAAATTCCCTCTGTCCTTCCACACTTCCCAAGGAATTTTAAGGCTGGTTGGTGAACATTTATTCACTTCCACTGGCCCTTCACCAGTGTTGGCAGAAAATAACCTCGTGATTTCGTTTCTCTGGAGGTAATTCCTGTGACTGATGAACTCCCACGGCAAATGTGAGAACTCGGCAAAGAAAACAATATTCTCCCCATCAAACCTCCCATCTTGTCAATACTGAGCCAGAGACAGAAGCAGTTCAGACCAAAAAAAAAAGCTCCTCTGGCCACTGTTTTAATCTTTCTCTCCTTAAAAAGAAGAACTGGCCAGAAAACTCCTCATAAAATGGCAAATAAAAGGCTTTACCCTCTCCTCGAGCCGAGCCAGCTGCTCTTTGTAGTAGGCATCGTGTTTCTTCAGCTCCCTGTCCTTCTCTTCCAGCTGCCTGGCCTAAAAAAAAAAAAAAGGCAGCAGAAAGTTAAAACTGGATCAAAGATATTGTGCTTTTTTTTTTCCCTTCCCTCCTCAACAGTTGTGCCAGAGTTTGGCCAAATGGATTTGGGAACGTCACAGAAACGGAACCGAACGGACCAGGCCGGGATGGGGTTTTAATTTTTTTTATTGGAATGCACCTTGTGAACTTTGGGAAACTTAGTTCTAAGCACGTGAATGTTTGGAAAGAACCAAATCCTTCCAATATCTGCCTAAAAGTACATCGAAATGTTGTTTGTTTGTTTGTTTGTTTTAATTAATAATTAGTCCTCTGGAAACTCCTCAGTTGGTTAAATACCCACAAAGTAAGTTGGAATCCTTTACCACTGGATCACTCCCATGTCCAGTAACTTAAAATAATACAGAATAATTCTGAATATTTATATTTTTGACACCAATATAACTTGGGTGTTCATTTAAGACACACTGCTTCCAGACATTTGACACGTTTTTGGCTTTTCATCTGGAGAATTTCCCCACATCTTGTATTAAGGAGACTCATTAGGAATTATAAAAACTCATTAAAACCCCCACATAGAGAAAAACATGCAAAGCTCTGAGTTCTCCAGTGAAAATACCAGAGAAGTGGGTTTGAAGCATTTAACAACTAAATTATCAACTCAAACACATTCCAGGTCCACAATTAATGATAAAATCCAATTAAAACTTTGGATTTTCGGTTATTCCTTCTTTAACTACTCACCTTTACTTCTATATCCTGAAGCATGTAAAAAAACGGAAAATTTAAAATTAAATTCATTATATATCTCGTGGTGAACAGAAAGAGCACAAGAAGACCCCGAAACACGCACGTCATCATCTGTCATCCAGAAAAATGCTACTACCTGGAAATTGTTGGGTTTTTTTTAATGCAAATTCACCAAAAATAGTCCAAAAAGCACAGCCAAATTCTTTTTTTTTATTATTTAATTATTTAATATAAGTATAAATATTATTTAATTTAATTTTTCTTGGATGAACCAAACCTTGTCCGAACCAAAGCTGCCACCCCCCGTTCATGTTCCAGCCCTGACCCACCACCAATTAATCAGCCTCGGCTCACTAATTACAGCTTTTTCAAAGCTGATTGCACTAAATATTCCACAGCCAAACTCCCATGTTTTGTATCACTCGTGGTTTGCTTCTCCTCACAGATAATCCCTGATCTCCTCCCAGACCTGGGGGTTATGGAACAGCTGGAAATTCGTCACAGGTCGTGTGTCCCAAAACCACCCTCTCCCAAATACGGAATCATGGAATGGTTTGGGTCGGAAGGCACCTTAAAGATCATCAAATTCCACCCCCTGCCATGGGCAGGGACACCTCCCACTAGCCCAGGTTGCTCCAGCCTGGCCTTGGACACTTCCAGGGATCCAGGGGCAGCCACAGCTTCTCTGGGCACCCTGTGCCAGAATATCTAACATTCCATATCTAACATTCCATATCTAACATCCCATATCTAACATTCCATGTCTAACATCCCATATCTGATAAACTACTGCAAGGCACTGGTACATATTTTCTGTCCAACCACCACGTGATCCCTGAAATCTCTGTGATCTCCACGACATTCCTTTGGTGTAAACGGAGAGAACATAAAATTCGTGTTTCCCAGTGCTCAGTTTTCAGTTCTCATAATTCCACAGTGTTTTAGACAAACCTATTGATGGCCTGAAATGCAGCAGCAAAACTGACTCTGGGAAGGCAACAAGGTGCAACAAAACCCAGGCAAGAGCATCAAGGAATTAATTCCCTCATCCCATTCTTGAGGGATCACAAGGACAAAAGTGTTGAGGGTGTAAAAGCAACAGGTCAAGGGCTCAGAGATGATGGAAGAGACAAACCCCATCCTCACTCTCCAGGTTAAATTCCTCCCATCTGTGTCTCGCTGATCAAACACCATGAAAAAAGATAAATGGCTTTAATTAATTAATGCTATCTGAGCACTAAATTTATATATATTTATATATTATGAGCAGGGTAATATATTATATATATATATATAAAATAATATATAATGTTTATTCCATGGGTATCCATCCCAGTGCAAGATTTTGCCCTGGAAAGTTTGATCTGCCCCAGAAGGTTTGTTGGTTTTTTAGGTTGTTTTTTGGGTTTGGTCCCCTGCCCCTCAGGACAACCAGTGATCAAACCAGATTTTACTGCACTAAATATAAAGGGGCCAAAAAAAAAAATTACCAGTCGTGCCCCTTATTGCTCTGATCTATCAGTGATAAAAAAAAAAATATTACATTATAAGAATACTAAATAATCTATTTATCCAAAGGTTTGGGTCCCCGTCTTGTGAAAGTAACTGGGAGATTTGGTAGGCAGGTAAGAAACTCAGAAAACAGGAGTTTCTTCCACTCCTGACACTTGTACAGTAACTCAGACACAGCAAAGTTCAAATAAATAAGTAATAAATAAAATTATTCATTTATACAGGAGACTATAAATATGCCAATAGGAGAGAATTCAGTGCCAAAAAGAAAAACCTGGAAAGCAATATTATATTTATGGGGCCACAGCTACAAGATCCTGGTGAATATCAATGAGCTGTGAGAAAACAATTAAGAGTAGCTGGATATTCAATTAGCTCAACGCTGCTGTTCAGGTGTAAAGGAGATACTGGAACTGGTTTGTTGCTTCTTCACAAAGAAATTCTGCTTAAAAAAAGCCTTTATTTGGGTGTTTTCTAGGAGACACAGCCCATCTTCCCCAAACCACCCAAATTTAATACCCCAAAAATACACCACTAACATCAAATATTAGTCCGATTCTGAAATTCTTCTGAATTTCTTCCTCACAATCACAAGGAAGTTGGATCAGCATTTAAAGGCCAACCTGGGTTTCGTTTTCCAAAGTAGGAGCTGGATTTGGCCCCGCTCTGCTATGAGGTGCCATCGCTGGAAAAAAATGGATATCTCCAATAAAATTCCCTGGGAATGGCCTTATTCCCGCCTGCAGGGACACCTGGTGACGAAGCCAAACCCTCCTCACACTGGATACAACAAATGCATGTTTATTTTGTCCCTTGTAAGGTAAAACAGAGCAAATAAGCATAAAAAATGTGTGTTTAATAATTAATCGTAAAATGTAAATAAAGGGAATCTGGTTATCAGGATGCAACGAGATTCCAGGTGTGTGCAGCCACAAATTGATATTATTTAAGGAAAAAAAAAAAAAGAAAAAAAAGCCATTATGAGGCAGTTTAATATAAGTTTGCAGGCAGGATTCAAACTCAGCAGTCCCAGGTTTTCAGCTGCCCCTCGGTGCCGACTCCGACCTCCAAATCCATTATTATCCACACCAGGTTTACAGTGGAAAACCCCTGAGATGGGTCCAGTTTGCATTTTCCTGGGAAAAGAACGACCTGCTTCCAAGTAAGAGTCTGGTTTTACACTAAATTTATAAATTATCATCAGTTATCTCCAAGCCCTCTGATTGATGGTCATCTCCTCCACCAAGAACATCAGGGGATGGGGTAAGTGGACACCAAGGGCTCCCAAGGCACATCCAAGGCTTCCAGTGAGACCTGGAATTGGGTGTGGGGGCTGGAAGAGCCCCTGTCACAAAGGGTTTATGAGATGAAGGGGATTTGCCCAACTAAACATGGATCCAGCAATGAGGGCTCTGCTGGGAAAGGTCCCATGGAATATCTGCAGGCCTCAGGTCCCTGGACTTTGAAGGAAGGATCAATGGATTAAGGGGGGAAAGGAAGCAGCAGCAGCTCCAGAAGCACCACAGTCCTGTGGGAGAACTGCTGGGAGGGTGGGATGGGTGAGATGTCCCAGCACCACGGGACAGCAGATCTCCAAACTGATCCTTCCTAGTTGTGTTGCTGGAGATTTTCCATCTCTTGCCACATGAAGTTTACTGGATAAGTGTATCCCTAGGCTGGAGTTGGATGTGAATCCCAGAACTCACTGACACCGACATCACTCAGGTCCAGCCTGTGAGTGTCCCGTTGTCAAAGTTATTCAGCCTTTCAGAGAAGGGTTTGGGTTGGAGGGGACCCTAAAACTCACCTGCTCCGACCCCCTGCAATGAGCAGCGACACCTTCAGCTGCATCAACCTGCTCAGAACATTCTCCCTTGAATGTTTCCAGGGATTTGATGTCCATTAAACTCCTCTGCCCACAAACCCTGTCGCAGTGGACAACACTCACCCTGTGCACTCACATTTGAATGTGGATAAAATCAGATTTAAAAGGTTTGTTCCTCATCAATACAACAATGGTCAGCAAACCTACACTCTTCACCCACTCCCTGCAGTGTCCCAATAAATAATTCTCAATTTCCACACTTAACAGATGTAGAATTGCCACATTTTTATCTTTTAAACTTCTATTTCGAGATATAAATCCACGCATCATTCCAAACAGGCAACAGGGGTAATTTATGGACGTTCTTAGGAACATATGCTGCTCCCTTCCCCCCCTCAAAGAATTCCTTTTTGAAGCCTTCAATATTCACAAAATCACTCCTAACCACACAAAATCATCTGGACACATCACTCGAAGAGAAGGACCTTAATTTTCATCTCCACTTGTAAAAAAGGTAGAGGTTCTTTCCGAATTAGAAACGGCAGCGACAATAACGCGGCGTAAAACGTGTTCTTTGACAACTGTAATTAAAACAAGCTTTTGTAATTACCACTAAATGTGCTACAGTACATTTTCTCCAAAGAATGAAGTCCTGAAAGACTGAGCAGCGCAGATAAAAAAAGATCACATTGAGAGGAGGCTAATGGAGAAAATGAAACAATTGAATTTATGGACGTTAAGGATCTGGTCTCTAACGGAACATGTGACGCGAAGCCTCATTTACTAAATCTCGTTATGGAGCAAAGGAGAAAAAAAAAAAAAAAAATGTAAATTGTGCCAAACAAAGGAGTTATGGATTCCAGTTTCCAACGTGAGCCACAGGAATATCAACCCAAATCCGTGGGAATGTCACCATCCATCAAGACAGAAGCTCATCGATGTTGTTGCTCCAACGAGAAGAGTTTCTGTTAATATGCCAGAATAAAAAGCTGAATAAGAAAAATCCCAGAATCCCAGAATCACTGAGGTTGGAAAAGATCTCCAAGGTCATCAAGTCCACCCTGTGCCCCATCCCCACCTTGTCCCCCAGCCCAGAGCACTGAGTGCCACATCCAGGCCTTCCTTGGACACCTCCAGGGGTGGGGACTCCAAACCTCCCTGGGCAGCCCCTTCCAAAAGGTGGGACAGCTGCAGGAGGAGGTGGGGGGTTTAGGAGCACAGGCACACACAGCTGAGGGACCCAAAGAGACCTCAGAGGTGACAGGGCCAACTAAGAGGCCACACCTGGTGCCTCCAGGCCGTGTCCAGTTGGGATTTGAAAACCTCCCAGGAAGGACAAGGAACAAGCTCTGCTGTGCCTTCTCCATCAGGAAGGTCTCCCAGGCTCTGTGTAGGGCCAGGGCCCCAGGAGGAGAAGCAGGAACAGCAGGAGGGAAGTTCTGAGTCACTCATCCCTTGAGAGGACTCGGGGTTCCTTCCAGCCTGATTTATTTTATGACCCTACCCCGAAACACGGGGCAGAAAAACCCCACAATTGCACCAAGCGACTCAAAATGAGCAATTAGGGATTCACAGATTGGTTTGGGTTGGAAGGGACCTTAAGGATCATCCTGTTCCAACCCCTGCATGGGCAGGGACACCTTCCACTGTCCCAGGTTGCTCCAAGCCCCCT